CCTTCAACGAAAATTCAGAATGCATTTCCCCCAGTTTAGCTTGAAAGTGCTGAAACAGGCGATTGTCTATGTCACCACCACCGAGATGCACGTCACCCACTGAGCGAACCACCTCATATTCTTTGTTGCGCATGCGCAAAATGGACACGTCAAAGGTGCCTCCACCAAAGTCGAAGACAAGCACACAACGATTTTCACGTTCCTCGATCCTGTTGGAAAAGCCATAGGCTAGAGCCGCAGCCGTCGGCTCGTTGATGACGCGGAGCACCTCGAAGCCAGCCATTCGACCGGCGTCCTGTGTCGCCTGGCGTTGAGCATCATTGAAGGCAGCAGGAACTGTGATGACCACCTTGGACACCGGATGACCCAATTGGCTCTCGGCAGTCTGTTTCAGTTGGGACAGAACCATAGCAGAAATATTTTCTGGGTAAAAGTCCCTTTCAGTGCCGCTATATCGAACACGAATCTGGGGTTTCATGGAAGAATCAGAAATGACACTGAAGGGCCAGGCCTTAATATCATTGACCACTGTCGGATCGTCTTTCCTCCGTCCAATCAGTCGCTTCATCTCAAAAATTGTGTTCTTCGGATTGCACCCAGCTTGATTTGCAGCAGCATCGCCAACTAATCTCTCCGTGTCTGTGAACGATACCACACTGGGAATGGTGTAGTGACCCAGCTCATTGGCGATCATAACCGGCTGTCCTCGTTCAAGATAGGCGATGCCTGAGTTCGTGGTACCCAAATCGATGCCGAGTGGAATATCGCGTGTATCAACCATGCCGCAATGGAACTTTGCTCATTCCTAAATCTCGCATGTCGGATGTAGAGATACTTATAATGAATGTGATCACTATAGTGGGTGTGCGTATGTGTCGTGATTGGATACTTAAGTGTGAAAGTTGCAAATGACTGAAGATATCCATTCAGCAGCTTTCATGCATCCGCTGCGACACACGTCGACCTGGAGCTGTGTCTGCGTACGCAAACTACACTTAGAACACGACTGTCCGTTTTTGGCTCTTGCACTTAATGCTGACTTGGTGGGATTAATTCATGATTGCTCGTCTTTACACATTTGACAAGCATTTGTGTTTAATCAGTGAGGCGCCAAGCAATAAATTATACCAGACCTGGACAACATGGCCTTTCTGGCTTTTCTGCAAATCTTGTCAAAATTGATTCATAGCTTCCACTTGTCATTGCTTTCTACAACCCATTTCTAGGAACAGGTTTAATTCCTTGTAAATTCACAGAAACGCTTGTAAGGCCTGATCGCATGCCGACGTCACTTAGGTACAAATTTGTGCTCCCCTCAAAATTCAGGAGACAGTGTGTTGTCGGACGTCTTCGATGCATGCTAGTATGCATTTTACCTGTGAATTCTGATGGAATGCGCAGGATACATTCAAGTTATGCATGGCCTTATGCTCGATCTTACTGAAGTCGTTTATCAACCATATAATTTGATGCGTCTTCCGACTTAAAAAAAAATCTTGGTATATGGTGAATATTTCAAGGGCTACTGCAAACAGTTAAGGTACATTTGTATACTTCGTTTAACATTGCCTGGTCTGCGCCAATGTATGTCGACCGCACAAACATTAATCAACCCATCGAGTGTGGTTAATGCGGACATGATCCGTCTTTCACCCGAAGCATTTTCTTCGTGGTGTATGTCAACCTGCAGAAGCATTAATCAACGCGATAGCCGTACACGTAAAACGACACAGATCACCTAACCTTCTATCAGTTATGCCAAATACAAAAACAAAAGAAATTTCTAGCAATTGTGTAGCTCCAAGTTATCAGTATTGAAATTTGATAGAATTCGTAGTTGTGACCCATCAAGTTTGGTTAATGCGGACATGATCACTCTTTCACGCCAAGTGGAAATTAGTTGGTTTCGCCTGCTTGCACCTTTCGCGTTGAGCCTACATTAATGCATGTCGGTTGCAATGTGCAGTTTTTCAAGATTGTCTCAGAGCTTGGCACGCATCCCCTAACTTTACGTCATCAACAGGCATTAAATCAAAGTACAGTGTCCCTGGTCTTCGATCCACCATTGGATGTATCAGTCAAAATCAGCTTTTATAGCACTACCGGAAGATGAATAACATCAGGGTGGTGTTCTTCGTTTTGACGCAGAACTTCAATGCACAGTTCAGCAATGCGGATGAGGTCCGAATTGGACTGTAGTAGCTTGATCTTCGCACTACCTTGCAACCCTCTAATTAACAGCCCAAGACAACTCGAGTAGAGTGGAGAAGAGGCGAGAGCGGACACGACTGGTTTATTGATGT